TTTATTTTGTACAGGGTCTTCTATGCAGCTTGGACTCAAGTGATCCTCCTGTCTCAGCCTCCCCAGTGCTGATTTTACAGGTGTGAACCGCCACACCCAGTTTTGGGCCAGCAGATTGAACTCAGGCCCTTGCACTTGCCAGGAGGCGCTGCCCAAGCACATCTACATTGTATTTTCTTTTTCTTTTTCTTTTTTTTTTTATGAGCAGAATATATTTATTGAGAGAAAGAAAGCTCCTATTCCAAAAGAGGGACAGGAGCGGGGGCCCGAGCGGGTAGTTTCCCCCCACCCCGGGGGAAGTTGTCTCTTGAAGGGACTTTTATAGAGGAAAACCATGCGGTGAGGCGGGTCTAAGGTGGTAGAGAAGACATGGGAACTCGCTTAGTTGGGCATGAGGTGGGACCAAACTATGGTCAACCAATGAGATTACAAGCACCATTGCTCAGGTAAAATTGATTAAATCCAGTATCAAATGGGAAAGCGAGTCACATAGCAAGCGGGCACGAATATGGAACAGGGTCTCTTCCTGTTGGGGGTTAGGCTAGTGACTCATTTGGGCTCTTTCAAGTTGATTGATAACTTAAGATTACCAACATTTTACAAAACAATATAAGAGACAAAACAGAAGCAATTGTAAGCAATTTTAACAGTGCTATGTGAAGCAAAACTGTATGAGGCAAAGCATGAACAATTATGAGCAATGGGCAAAGACATATTAACATTTGAAACATAAATTTGTTACCTAAGCAAGTCCCAATTCAGAGTTTATGAAAGAAAAGTAAACTCATACCTCCGTCCAATGATCTCGGTGGGAAACTCCAAAATGATATAGGGAAAAAAACTGGTCTCGGGTGGGTGACCTCTAAACAATACAAGGAACCTCCAAATGACATAGAGAAAAACCATCTCCCGACCTGACCTGCACGAGTTCATGTTCTCTAAAACCGAAGAATGAATTTTAGGAACAAATGGAGGTTATAAGCAGAATATATTTATTAGAGAAAGAAAGTTCCTGTCCCTAGAGAGGGACAGGAGGGGGGCCCGAGCGGGTAGTTTCCCCCCTCTACATTGTATTTTCTAATTGTCACTTTTTGCTGCAGGTGAAGACCTGGTTCCAAAATCAGAGAATGAAATACAAGAGATGGCAGAAAAGCAACTGGCAGAACAGCGCTGACGCACCTCAGGTGACTGGAAGAAGTGCACACTGTCTGTCTTGCTGGGGGATTTTAGTTAATGTTGTCTCCACAGCATGGAACATTGCCCAGCCCTGTTTCCCTTCACCCTCTGAGCTAACCCATTCTATTTTTTCATAGTTAGCTTGGTTTCAAAATTTTTAAACTGGACATGGTGGCTTGTGCCTGTAATCTCAGCAGTTGAGTTCTAGGCTAGGCTGAACTTGAGGGGAGACCCTTTCTCAAGAAAACCAAAATAAATAAAATGTTCATTTCCATTGACACTTGCGTGTTGTACACATGGACTGCACTCTCCATGGGGAATTGGTATGGATACGAGTCTTTTTTCTAATTTGGTACCAGGAATCAAACTCAGGGTCTTGTGCTTTCCAGGCAGGCTCTGTACCACTGAGCTCTATCCCCAGCTCTGAATTTTTTTTCCATTTCCTGCCTGCATCTGTCCACTGTTTACCTTCATTTTTTTAAAAAGTGTATTTAGTAGAGTCTAAAGGGTCTCACTACACAGATCCAACTTGTAGTGATCTTCCTGTTTTCAGCCTCCCAAGCACTGGGATGCTCAGTCTCTGCTGAACCTCAGGGGCCAGGCTGGCACTGCACCCCTGGGATTGAACCCAGTCCCTGTGTCTGCCTAAGCAGGTGTTTTGGTCTGCTAAGCTATCTAGCTGGCCTTACCTTAATTTTTTTTTTTACTTTTTTTTTTTTGGCAGAACCGGGGATTGAATAATATACATCATTTCCTGCATGGTTTATCTCCTCAGTCATTACCCAAAGGACTCTGAGAAGTTACAGGAGTACACAGACGCAGGCACAGGGCCCAGCTTCTTCTCCAACATTGTGGAAAGGGATCGTACATCACAGGGCAGAGCCCTGTGCTCCCCTAAGCCACTTGGACCTACCTTCATTAAAAAAAAAAATGTTTTTTTAATTTTTTAGTGCAGGGTCTATGGGGTACAGGGTGTACACAGTCTCACTATGTAGATCGGACTCGTAATTCTCCTGTGATTACAGGCATAAGCCACCATGCCTAGTCAACTCAGGCCCTTGTGCTTGCCGGGAAAGCGCTTATTCTTTTTTTTGCGGGGGGTACTGGGGCTTGAACTCCGGCCCTTGAACTTGTCAGGCAAGCGCTTATTCTACTGAGCCAGCTCCCCAGCCCTTTGCCTAGTCTCAATCACTACTACAGTGTGCACCTGGGGCTGGGCCAGCACGGCACACCAGGGATCAGACCTCGGCCACTGCGCTTTGCCTAAGCAGGCATTTTAGTCCGCTGGGCTATTTGGCCGGCCCTCCTACCTTCATTTTTGAAAAAAAAGATTTTTAAAAAAAAATTTTTAGGGAAGGGCCTACAGGATGTTCAGGATCACTGCTAGATGGGACTCCTAATGATCCACTTGTTTATAGCCTCCCAAAAGCTGGGATTACAGGCTCATGCCATCTCATGCAGTCTCAATTGCTGTCTCAGTGTGCCCCGGGGCTGGCGCCAACAAGGCAGGTGCGGGAATTGAATCCCTGGCCCTGCGCCTGCTTGCAGGTGCTTTAATCCACTGAGTTATTTGATTGTCCCTGAAAAGATCTTTCTCCCTTATTTGTCCTTTATTTGTTCTCCTGCTTATGCATGTATAATGAAATACTACTTTGCCCTAAAGACAAATGAGTCATTTTTTTGAAAATGAATGCACCTTTGATTCTCTGGACGACCCGTTCCTCCCAGGTTTCCTCATTCCAGCTCTGTAGAACTGCTCTTCTGCAATGCAGGTCACAGTCACATCCCCAAAGTCGCAGCCTCCACTGCATGCTTTGAGCAGTCCCAGGCCTCTTTGGCACAGCTCACAGCAGCCCCAGTCCCCTGGGACCACTCAGCAGCTGCTAACCCACTCTTTTCTTTTTTTTTGGTGGTACCGGGGATTGAACTCAGATCCTTGTGTTTGCCAGTCAAGCGCTTATCCTACTGAGCCATCTCCCCGGCCCCTAACCCACTCTTTTCTCTCAGAAGGGCCCGGCCCCTGTAGAGTACCCAGGTACCTGCTCCAATTATGCCCAAGGCAACCTGGTGAATACATCCGGGAACCTTCCCATGTGGAGCAACCATACCTGGAACAACTCAGCATGGAATACTCAGTCATGGGCCAACCACTCCTGGAACACACAGACGTGGAACTCGCAGACATGTAACATGCAGACGTGGAACGCGCAGACCTGGAATGCGCAGACCTGGTACCCCCAAGGCTGGAACAGCCCATATCCCAGTTGCGGGGAGGAACCACTGCAGCCCTGCCTGCCCTTCCCGCAGAGTTTGCCTGCCAATGACTTGGAGGCCTCACTGGAAGTCGCTGGGGACAGCCAGAAGTACTTAAACAGCCCCCAGGCCCTGGATCTGTTCCTGAATTATGCCATGAGCCTGCAGCCTGAAGACCTGTGAAAGTGATGTTCCCTCTCTGTAAAGGGTTTTGCTCAATCTAGTGGTGTCCCAGTTCATTTCTCACAATGCCTGTTGTGACAGCATGGGGTGTGGGCAGGGCTGGAGTCTGAGGAGCCTTCAGTGACTTCCTGTGCTTCAGGCAGATATGGCCTGAGTACTGAGCAGCCACTGGACACTGTCAGATGTAGAGGTAGAACCCAACCTCAAGGTAGGAGACAAAACTGAAGTTGTTTGCTGGGACTTCAAGGCTTTTTTTTTTTTTTTTATTTTTTTTTTTTTTTAATTTGTGTGTGTGTGTGTGGCCAGCTCAGCCCACCAGGGGGCGGGGCTGGCTGGCATGTGGTGCTGGGGAATTGAACCGCGGTCCCCCGATGCTTTGCTAAGCTTGTTCTAAGTAGGTGCTTTAGACCACTGAGCCATCGCATCAGCCCAAGGCTTTTGCTTTTTAAAACTGCCTGCATTCAGCATGGGGCTTGGGGTGTGGCTCGGTGTTAGGGTGCTTGCTAGCATGCTTGAGGCCTTGGGTTCCATCGCTGGAGTTATAGAAAGACCCAGTAAATTCCACTTTTTGTGTGGAACTGCACAGGCCTCCTTGCTGAGCTGCGTGCCTGCCTGCCTCTGCCTGCCCCTTTTGAAACAAGGTCTTGCTGAGGCACTTGATTTCTCACAAGTGGGCCTAAATTTGGGTTCCTCCTGCCTCAGTCTCCCAAAGAAGTCAATTTGTTCAGGTGAAGGGTTTAAGTTAGTGTGCTGCACCAATTCCCTCTACCCCACCCCTGTTGGGCTCCAGGTTTATTGTGGTCCCCACGGTGTTGACTTAACAATTGTAGAAAGATGTCTTGTACACATCACAGCTGCACCCTGACAATCAGGTTGGACTTGACTGTTGGGCTTGTCTAAGTGCAAATGAATAAATAATTTTTGTCTATGCTTGATTTCACTGGTGGTTCAATGAAGTAAAGATTTGGCCCAATTATTTTTCCTTTTTTGGAATAGACTCCCTCTGTAGTCTGCTGTTCTCAAGCTCTTGGTGGTCCTCCTGCCTCAGCTTCGCAAGTGCTAGGATTATAGGCGTGTGGCACCATGCCTGGTTAAATAATAGTTTTTAGCTGTCTTCTAGCCTGGATTCAACCATCTTTTCCTGTCTCCTGAGTAACTGGGCTATAAGTGAATGTCACCTCGCCCAGTTCTCTACTCTGCTCCGTATGCTCCAGCAGTGAGCTAGGATGCCTCCATACCCCTTTTTTTCTTTGGTGACATTCAGAGTCAAGCCCAGGGTCCTCTTGTTGCATTTACTCCTATCACTGAACTATATCCTTAGCTCTTTGAGACATAAGTTAACCAGCGTGGACTTGAGCTCGACATCCTCCTGACTCAGCCTCCCAGGTAGCTGTGATCACAGGTGTGCCGCTAGTGTGCCCTGCTTCTAGCACCTCCCCTTTTGAAGCAGAGAAGGAAGCAGGATATCTAGTGAGTTTTCCTGGTCATTTCCCTTGTTTCCCAATGCTATAGTCTACATGATCCAGTTATCTAGCCTGAAGATAGGAAGCTGGGAATAACTTGAGTGAATTAAATTTCTGCCACACCCTAAGGGGCAGCTGTCAGATACTTGGGAGTTTTGTGTTTCAGACCAAGGTAACAGCACCCAGCAAGTGAAACAGCCGAAAACCCCCTACTCCACCACTTTTTGTCTTTTGAATTTCAGCAGATGAAGCAAACTTGAGTCCAGCTTGGGTGACCTGCCAATTTTTTTTTTTTTAAATTGTGGAACCAGGGATTGAACTCAGACCCTTGTGCTTGCCAGGGAAGCACTTACTGTACTGAGCCCTCTCCCCAGCCCTAACCTGCCAATTTTTACAATTCTGTTTTGTTTTTCTGAGACAGGATCAGGTAGTTTAAGCTGGCCTGATCCTGGCAAGCGTTGGGGTCACAGGTCTGCATCGACACAGCTGGCAGCCTGTAGGTTAAGAGGTTCAAAGTGCTAGGGCTTGTGTAGTTCAGTGAAAAGGCCCTGGGTTGATTCTCATTCTGGTTACTGGGGAAAAACAATTGCAGTGGAACAGGCTGGGGCTGTTTTTGTCCCAAGTGCTGGAGGGAAACCCAAAGCGTTATTTACGCCTGCTAGCGCACCGCTGCACGCCGAGCTACTACCGTCCACCTTTGCCTTTCTAGTAACAGTGGTTCTGACTAAATACACGTATATACAACATCCATACACTTGAGAAAATAACTAAATCATGAGCCAGAGCTGGAGGCTGTGGGAAAGTAGCCCTGACCCTGCAACTTGGGACTTAGGAAAACCTCCAGTTAAGTTCTGCCAGGGCATTAAGAATCTAGCACTGATGCCTTTTCCTTTGTGCACTGGGGGTGGGGTGGGGCTGTGGGGAGTGGGGTACTCATGTTGGAACTCAGGACCTTAGGTCTGCCGGGAGCTCTCTCCTCGGCCTCTAAAGCTTTCTTCTATCCTTACACAGATGGGTGTGGCAGGCATCTAAGGGCTCCATAGTCCCTCTAAAAGGTAAAAGCTGAGCCGGCCATGTTGGTGCATGCCTGTAATCCCAGCGCTCTGGGAGGTGCGACAGAACGTTGCAATCTCTGGAACCCATCCTGGGTACGGAGGATGCAGCTCAGGGCAGAGGCCCGATCCAACCCCAGCACCTCCCCAGCACACACAAAGTGGAGTCTGAGTAAAGACCCTCTGTCCACCTAAGGAGTGCAGCGAGGAGCCGGCGGCTGCACACCTCGGAGGATGTTCAGGTTTGCTCCGGCCGCAGGGTTACCGAGGGATGAGGGAGGGTGTGGGATTTCAGGGTAGCTGAGCTTTGGGAGAACTCGGCAGGACAGAACGCAGCTGATCCAGCGTTTTTGGTTTTTGGTTTTTTTTTAATTAACGCGACGCGCAGGTGTTAGTGACCACTGGGGCTTAGAGGACTTTTGTGGCCCTTCACGAGGTGAGCGCCTCGCAGAGGTCACGTGGCTCGCGCCGTCCCCGCAGGGCGGTGGCTGACAGCCCTGTGCCGGTGTCCAGCCCCGCGTGGCCGCCGTGTCACAGCGGTCGTCTCCAGCTGGCCACGCAGCAGCTCACACCTTCGTCTGAGCTGCGCTTCGGGATAACTTGCTCCGTAAGTCTCCGCGCGGGAGGGGAGGGACCTCGGCCTTGAAGTCATTTCGCAGATGCTTGAGTTTTTCAAATTCTCCGAGACCACTTTTCCTATGGAGCTGGCGGTGCACCGCCAGCTGCTGCTGTCTCGGGGCTCGGGTGACCCTCACCCCAGGGACCCATTCAAATGCCTGCCTTCTCTGCAGCCGTCCCCGGCTCACTTCCTGGCCCGAGGCCTTTGTCTGCCCCCGCTGGCTTCTTTCTTTCACAAATTCCCTTTGTCTCTGGCTCCAGACCAAGCCCACTCGGCCTCAGGAAGCAGCAGTATTTACCCACAGCCTCCCGGCTTGCCTGCCTCCGTCTGGCAGCTGTCTGTCTTTACTTTCAGTTTGCAGTCCGGGCCGCTTCTCCCCTGTAGACCCGGGGCTTTCTGAATATGGGATTATTCAAAGCAGAGTTGGCAGGCCCCCCCCGGGGTGGAAGTTGGCTCGCCCCTCCCAGCCGCTCACAAGCCGACCCGGCCCGGCTGCACCCCATACTCTGTTCTTAGGGTCCAGAACTGCTGAGACTAAGCTGGAAATCAAAACAAACTGAAGCTTGGAACTGGACTATGATAGAGTACTTGGAGGGAGGCAGGAAGCAAGAGGGCCCTTGATTCTGTTGTCCATTTTGTCCCTCTCCTAGAAGTGTATAATTATAATTTCTGCAATCCTCTGGCCAAAAAGCGATAATAAACTGAGAAGTCTTAAATTGGCTTTGCACTTTGAAAAAAAATTTTTTTTTAAATGTGTTTGCTTTTGGTTGTCTGGGCCAGTACTGGGGATGGAACACAGGACTTTTACATTAACTATATCACAATACCCTGATTCTTTTCTATTTTGAGACAGGATCCTGCCAAGTCCCTAACTTGCGTAGGCTGAGGACCAACCTGTGATCTGCTTCAGCCTCCCACAGTCCTATGACTGCGAGCTTGTGCCCCGTGTGGCCACTATGAATGACAAAAGTCACACAGTTCTCCTCAGAGGCTGAGTTAGGAAGACAGCAAGGTTCAGCCCAGCCTAGACAATTTAGCAATGTATGAAGCCCTGTCTCAAAATAAAAAAGAAAAAGAATAAAAAAAAAAAGCAGGGACTGTAGGGGAGCTATAAAGACCCTGGGTTCAGTCTCCAGCACTGCAAAGTAAACAAACACCAAACATATAAAAGACAGGAGATGTTTAAGCCTTCTCCAGATCAACTACCTGAACGTTGTTCTTGTACCAGAAATGTGTTCTTCCCTGGCATGGTGGTGCATGCTGTATGTAGTCCCAGCACTGGAAGCTGAGATAGGAAGAATGCTGCAGGTTCGAGACCAGCTTGGGCTACATAGTGAGACCTTGTCTCCAAAGACAAAACAAGGGGCCGGGGAGATAGCTCAGTAAAATAAGCACTTGCCTAGCAAGTGCAAGGTCCTGAGTTCAATCCCCAGTACTGCAAAAACAAAACAAAAAAACCCCAAGGGTGTCTGTCTGTAATCCTTGAACTCAGGAGGCTGAGACAGGAGCGTCGTTGGGAGTTCAAGACCAGCCTGGGCTACAAAGTGAGCTCATTGTCAACCTTAACTGCATAGTGAAATAAATAATAAGAGAGAGAAAGGAGAGAGAGAGAGAGAGAGAGAGAGAGAGAGAGAGAGAGAGAGAGAGAGAGATCCTGTGGCCCAGACTGGCCCTGAATTGGCTCAAGCAATCCTCCTACTTCAGCCTCCAGAGTCACTGGGACTCCTGGCATAAGCCTCAGAACCTGGCTCAGGAACTTGCACTTGCCAAGCAGGCATTTGTGCTACTGAGTTACATCCCTGGCTACTGCATTTTATGAGCTCTCCTTCTAACTCTGTGAATGGTGCCTCTAAGATTCTGGCATCA